CCCTTTTACTTTCCTGCTTCATATCTTAATGTTGAAGATTATGTGAACTACGTTTAAATCTTTTTTGAATGCATGATCTGCAGCCGAAAGAGAGATATGTTTAATGTTAGGAGAAAGTGAAATATAATCAGCAGTTTTGAATGTAAAGTGTGATTTCAGTTTTTGATCACGAGGCTTTAGGATGTGTCATCATCAATCAGCTCTCTGCAGCCAGAGGTCCTGAGCAAACACTACAGTATCACTCTGCTGTCATTCATTTCATTCAGGCTTTAGAAATCGCTGTGAGTCAACCACCTGAAGTGTATTGACCTACTCTACTCTACTAGATATTGTGCTGTCTTTGAAGAACTGAATGTACAGAAATAGAAAGACTTCTGTTATTCACATGTTCTTAACCTGACATGTGTGTTGACGTTACATCCAGTCTCACGCTCACTATTATGTATAAGCGCTTTGAGCACCAGGAAAAGCGCTATTACGACGGCCAGACAGGCAAACAATTACATCAATCATTGGAAATCGACGAGCGGGCTCGATATATGGTTCAATATAGCAGTAGGCGATCGATGTCCATAGATGAGAGTAACATCTACGTCACTTCAGGGCGAAAATTACGGCCTCGCCCACTTTTGGGGGAATCAACGCTGTCATTTGAATGGCGATCAAGCCTGAAGCCACAGAGCTCTTCTTTTACTGTCCTTTCTTCTTAGAGGAAGTACAGAAACACGTAACTCTGGATTTGTTTTAACGTTTGATGTGCAATAAACGACACACAAGCTGTTTGGCATGATAAAACTATTATGTTCTGCCTCGCTCGTGAGAGTAACAGCTGGCGAAATGACGGCCTCGCCTACTGATTTTAATTGAACCATATATCGAGCGATTGTTGATTTTCCAATGATTTAATGTAATTGTTTGCCTGAATGGCCATCGTAATCGGGCTCTTTGAAGATCTAAAAATCCACGGTTTTCAAAAATGTCGATCGGATTGGCAAAAACTTCAGAATTTGTATTGGCGGCCATTCAAATGACAGCGTTGTTTTCCCCTAAAAGTGGGCGGGGCTGTAATTTTCGGTGTTTCGGTGTGTGTTACTCTCATCTATATGTGTATCATATATGTATATGTGTACATGAAGTCACATTTATAATGTAATAACCTGCAGTGGCATTATACGACAAATGTAGGCATTCTCCCTTAAAGAAAACAGCATTACATACTATGTTTATAATGTCATAACATTTTAAGGGAAATTAAGAGTGGTACACTGAAATACAGTTTAACTTGCTTTAAAGAAAACAAAGGTTATTCAATATTCCTGAGAACAGAAACCTTTTTGTTTTCTGCTTTAACTTGAATAATTGTTGGAGCCCCGTGTATTACAACAGCTAGTAACTTAAATGCACCTGCTTATTTATTTTACTAAAATAAGCAGATAAACCTTGGAGTCTTTTTTTATTGATATATTTGAGCTTATTTTCAACAAAGATATGTTTTGAAAACCTTCCTAATGTTTTTGGATCCCTTTTTATGACATTCAGTCCAACATTAGTAGCAGTTATTGCTTGTAAACCATACAAATAACTAAGTGTGACCTTAAATGTCTCAGAAACAAAGGCTGTCTGGAAGTAATAGTAAGGTAAGGTACGTTTATTTATATAGCACATTTCAGACGCAGAGGCAATTCAAAGTGCTTTACATGATCATTAACACATGATAGTAAGAGAGGAACACAATAAATAAACATAATGGAATAACAGATTCATAAAAACAATGCATTAATGAGATAGAAAATAGTTTAAACACGACTTTGTAAATACGGTAGGTGCTAAAACAAGTTAAAGGGCTTCTGGGTAAGCAGCTCTAAAAAGTAGTGTTTTTAGCCTCGACTTAAAAGAACTCAGCGTTGGTGAAGACCTGAAAGCAGCTTCAACGTGTTTGGTTCTGAGCCGGGGAACAATGAATAAGCCCGCCCCCGATGATCTCAGAGCTCAGGGGGGGGGAGCTCTGGGGGGGCTCGTAACGGAGCAGCATGTCAGACATATATTGGGGTCCCAAACCATTTAATGCTTTATAAGTTAGCAATATCATTTTAAAATCGATTCTGTAAGCTACTGGTAGCCAGTGCAGAGATCTGAGTACTGGGGTGATGTGTTGTACTCTTTTTGTTTAGTAAATACATCCATTGACTCTGCTAACAACTTGTACCCTGAGGTCCTAAATAAAAAGGAACATCTGGGAGAAGGTTGTATTGATGTGTATGTTTGTGTTAAGATGCTTGTCCTTGTTTGTGGGAAGAGGAAAATAAGAGTAGGAAAGATATAATTGTGACCTGACTTCATCTCCACCAGGTCTTGGACTCATCCAGGGAGCCTTTACTGCCAGGTGTGATTCTAACCGAGACGTTTCCCCTGCATCGCTCCTGCCTTTATAGTGTTGCTTACCTTTTCAGCTTCTTTTGGTCCTTTTTCTTTTGACATTTTAACCCCTGAGTTCCAGGGTCAATGTACACCACAACCATTGTTATACCTTTTTTAAAACACAAAGAACAGTAGAGTGTTTTACAATTACTGACCACTAGGTGTCGTTAGTGGATTGAAACATAATCTTATCTGTTTGAAGATCTTCTCATGGCCCTGGAATACCATTAAGCTTTTTATTTCTGCCAAGTTTTTTTGTCATTCTTTCTAAAGTTCATGCATCTTTTCCACTTAGCGATAATTGTAACTTGCATCACTCCATCCTTCATGCAGCTACCAACATGCTCAGGTCGCCCTCTGCATGTTGTTGCCTGCGTTCATTCTAATGTGTTATCTCTGCTGTTTTTGAAAGCACTGCTCACCTGCTGTTATATGTGCAGTACGCTTTAAACATTTTTTAAAACTCTTTGTCTTGTGTATTCCATGATCCAAGATATTACATTGAAAGTTATTTATACGTTTCCTTGTCTCTTTTCCTCAGAGGGAAGAACTAACTACAGCGTAGGAGAAAAATGCTGATTCACAGTGTTGATGATGGACTCTACTGCTGGCTGCCATTTTTTTTTTTTTAACATTTTAATATTTAATTTGCAAATTCCGGGGAAACCCATGTAAACAGATTCTCTCAATATGGGTTCCTTGGTCTACTTAGGTTTGTTGTAAGGCTAGTAAATATCGTGTAGGCTTGTTTAGTGCCTGAAAGGTCTGTTAGGCTCACGTTCAGAAAACTCCATTGACTTTGCCTTGGTGATGATTGAATAAAACAGAATGAGAATGCACTTTATATAATATTCAGCTTGAAGGTTGTTTCATCAGGGGTACGGTGGGTTTTAAATTACTCTAGCTACAATATGATACTTTTTTGATAACTTATGGGGTTTATGTGTAACCTGTTTGTATGATGTGATTTCTTTCATTGCCTTATATTAAATTAACTTGTATTTAATGTCCTTGTATGTGTACTTCATTACTTTTTGAAGCTGTAATCAATATACTTCAGAAAAGAGAACCTTCCTGTAAATAAACCACACACAAGCTGTTCTGTTGGGGAAGAAATTGATCCAGTGGAGAGGGAAAGGGCTTATGGGGCTTTTGTGTTTTGTGAGATAGCCAGGGGCAAGAAAGTGCCAAACATTAATCAATAACCTCTTAAAATGTATTCTGCAATAAAGATAGTTGACATTGTGAAGAGGATAAACCAGCTGGTACAATGCCAACTGTGACATTTAAATCAAGCCGTTAAAGCACAGATATCAGATCATTATTTGCGCTGGATAGACTCTGGAGTAACCCATAGCATAATGTTTTTGTTATTATTCATGTTTAATGTTAATTGGTAAAATGCCTATGTTGTCCTCAGGAGCTTGGGCTTTTATTTTTTCAATCTTATGGCATTTTTTAACAAAAAGTGTGCTTGTTATAGCCTCATTGCATCTTTCTTTAACTTGAGAATGATTACATTACATTTCATTTAGCTGACGCTTTTATCCAAAGCGACTTACAATAAGTGCATTCGACCAAGCATTCGACAAACTTTAAGAAAACATAATTATATAAGTATAAAGATGAAAGAAAGACTACAATTGACAGCCAAACACATTATTTGCATTAGGTTACCTGATATCAAGTCACAAAAAAAGAAATATTTGCGAATTGATATCAGTTGATTGAATGGAAAACAATAAAGTGAGTTACTTTCTATTAATACGCCCTTACCGGGGCTTTATTAATGATCCATAAATAATTTACTAATGCTTTACAAACAAGCTAAAAGCCATTAATAACGCTTTTTGTTGGCTAGGTTGCCACTGTAGGTGCCTGGTTGGTAAACATCCAGATAACAATAAGTAAACAATAACTGTTAATGGAATTCTTATATCTAGTTTTTTAGGTTGGATTTACATTTTGATCATGTGTCAGGATTTAAGAAAATCTTGGCCACCTTTAAAGGATGGATATGTAATTGTAAATTTGTGTCCGATGGACTCTGGGGTAAGGAGCCCATAGAATAATGTTTTAAAAAAATTATTATTCGTGTTGAATGTAAAATTGTAAAATGCCTATTTTGTCCTGAGGAGCAGCACCATCCATCATGCTGTCATCAGCACACATTGGACATTTATTGTTCAATCTTATGGCATTTTTTAAACAAAAATTGGTGCATGTCACATCCTCATTGCGTCTTTTTTTAAATGAATGCAGGATTTCATTTTTTTAACTAAAGAATGACGAGAGAGAGACTAACATTGAAAGCTCAACACATATTATTTCCATTAAATCAGTCCACTATTAACTAGTCCACTAACTATTCCAAGGATGGATATGAAATTGTAATTTGTGTCTGATTGACAAACATCCATGTCAGTTGTGTGCACAGACAGGCTTACACAAGTGCGTCAGGACGAGGGGAAGTTAAAACAATGTGTGTTTCTGCTGACTGTTTGTGCTTATTAGGAACTAAAACAAAGCGCACATGTGGCCGCAGGCTCCTCCTCGGCCATGTGACACAGTGCGGGCTGAGTCAGCCGCTCGTCATGCAGCGTCAGTCGGGAGTCGCACAATTATGAAAAAGCAACCTTCCGCTGGAGCTGCAGCCGAAGCGGATCTCTCCAACGTACACCGGGCTTTCCTTCCAAGGCTAACCGAGAGCACCGCGGATAGATGGATAAAAGCCACGACGCAGCTCTTCCTGAGTCTCAACGGTGAAGAGAATGGTATGTGACCCAGAGAAACAAACTGGGGTTGATAGTGTTGTCAAATTGGCGCTGAGAATCGTCGTGACTGATCGGGGGCTTTGAGTGGCAGGTCCCCCCGTGCATGCTGCCTGCTGCCTGTCAGACACCCAGAGACACCCCGGTGGTATTTACTGTGTTTGCTGACTGTCTCGGTGTACTATCGACACACTGTGACTCCCACGTTATGAGTGAAGTAGACACCGTGACACACTGTCTAGCAGGAAAACCCGAAAAAGCACACACGGGCGGAGCGTTAGCCTGCTAAATAGCTAGCTCGCTAAAAGCTAACTGCTATTTACCGAAGCTAACTAGCAGCGGGCTGATGTTAGCAGCGGTTTCTCTGCCAGTGGGAAGAGCTTCACAAACATATGAGAGCACTTGAGAGAAGCTGGCACTTGTTTCAAGACCCGTTTCTTCCAGCTGTCTCAGATGTCGGACAAGAAACGCTGTCATTGCCAGTAACAAGTCAATGCCAGTAACAAGTCAATGCCACCTTGAATGGCTGCCAAGTAAACTGAACGCTTTTATTCAGTCAGCTCTGGGAAAAGTTAAGTGGTGTTGAAATAGTGTATTTATTATCTCAGACCTTTTGTGAGACCTCTGGACGCCCACTCATGAATGTTTTCTTTGTGGTTTGGTGACATGTTTAGGTCTGCCTGCAGCAGACATAGCTGAAGACTCATTAGTGTTTGTTAGTTGTAACTTTCCCCTTTTGGGACGAGCACAACCTCCCAAACGACTTCCTGTCTAGTCTTCTCTGCTCTCAAATACACAGGGTAAATGGAAGAGAAGATGACATGTAGCCAAAGTCATTAATGGCCACACAGTGTTGTTATTACACAGTGCAAGAGCTGGGTATTATTGTCAATGTCAACTCTAATAATACACACAGTCTTGGACATTAACAATGAGTTGGTAGTTTATGTTGGTAGTCACTTTTTTATTGTCACAATGTTGACATCATATCTATCTGTCTTCCTCATTATTTCCCAACATTTCCCACAATGGTTTTTTTATACACAGAGATGAATACCACAGCCTAAACAGTGTGTCTCTGACAGTAGACACACATATCACCTAACCTAAATTAAGATGTGATTATTGACATTTAAGTGGGCACTTGTATGCAGCTAGAACCATTAATTAATAATATGGATCTAATAAGAGTAAGTAAGAGCTGTACACATGTCATTCACTTGACACTCATTAAACAGCCAGATCCATACATCAGATGGTATCATTTAACTGTGTGAAGATGAGTAGAAAATCCTTACTCAATATGGTATTTATAAATTGAGTTAAATCTATACTTTGTTTGCTAAGACGCCAGTGCACACGGTGCCTGTCTTTCGCCTCGGTGCATTATTTCCCACAGCGCTGGTCTGAGCCGGTCACATGCCTCAGCTTACATGAGGCACTGCTCTGATCAGTCTTATAGTCTGATGGCAGTCTAATTAATTAATGCTGACGAATCATTTTTGGTCTGGCTCATCAGAGCGGTGTGATTTGATCTGTTTGCCAATTGGGAATGAAGCTCTATTATTGCACAGTCACTTATGTAATAGAGGGTGGTTGAACTGGTCGTGTGTGTGTGTGTGTGTGTGTGTGTGTGTGGTGTGTGTGTGTGTGTGTGTGTGTGTTGTGTGTGTGTGTGTTGTGTGTGTGTGTGTGGTGTGTGTTGTGTGTGTGTGTGTGTGTGTGGTGTTGTGTGTGTGTGTGTGTGTGTGTGGTGTGTGTGTGTGTGTGTGTGTGTGTGTGTGTGTGTGTGTGTGTGTGTGTGTGTGTGTGTGTGTGTGTGTGTGTGTGTGTGTGTGGTGTGTGTGTGTGTGTGTGTTGTGTGTGTGTGTGTGTGTGTGTGTGTGTGTGTGTGTGTGTGTGTGTGTGTGTTGTGTGTGGTGTGTGTGTGTGTGTGTGTGTGTGTGTGTGTGTGTGTGTGTGTGTGTGTGTGTGTGTGTGTGTGTGTGTGTGTGTTGTGTGTGTTGTGTGTGTGTGTGTGTGTTTTTTTTCCCGCGGCACTGCTGGCCTTTTTTTCTCCCCCAAAGTCACAGTCTCAGTTTGTTGATTTTGTGAATGGAGCGCTCCCCTGTAGATCTTATCCAGCTGATCTCCCCACTGCTTCCCATCACTGTTGCTCCTGGTCAGACTTGATGCACTTTGTACTTTACAAAGCGTACTGGAGGGAATACCAATGTACTATATCTTAAATGTATCGTGAGGCATATATGTTGTATAATATATACGTGCAAATCGAGACATGTTTTCTGTGTTTTTTATATATTGCAGCTATTGGTCATTTTTATTGTATTTATCAAATATTATCAAATAATCTTTGAATGATCTTTTCTGGATGAATCAATCATATCAGAAAATGGTTAAGAATGTCGAAGATGATGTTCTCATTACTCTTGTTTCTCTTCACATCTGAAAGATATTCAGCTTATAGGTATTAAGTTGTAACAGAACAAAAAATGACTCATTGATCATTAATTTAATAGGTGACAACAAATCGACTTTTCTTTGTATCTCTACTCATATAGAAATCCTTGTCTTTGTTATTTAAACAGGGACATTTAACGGCTCTGTCCCTCCTGCTACCTCCTTGCCTGTGACTGGTTTACCTGCGTTTTCATAGGCTCACATACAGCGACAATAAGCACCAGATGTTGAGGAGAAAAGCCGTCACATGCCTCACATTACTAGGTTATCCAGGTGCTTGGAGGTAGGACTCGGGCAGTGGCGTTTTCTCCTGGAGGCCAAGGGATCCAGCCTTACCCTGTTTTTTCTGATTGTAGTTATAATTTTAATAAATAAATAAAAACACTTTGTTTAGTTTCGGAAATTCTTTGTTGTGTGTTGCTGCCGGCCCGTCTCTCCCCCATTCTCATTGAGTATTTTACAAAGAGTGAAACAGCGCCCCTCTAGATGTTATGGTGAAACAGTAGATTGCACCCTCTGTTGCGAGAGGAGGCCAGCCGAAATTGGCTTCCCTTGGTGAAAAAAAATGGAGGGATTGACCAATCAGACATGATATCACGTCATGCCCCTGCCAACCTGTGATTGGTCAGGGCCATGCCAAGGGAAGCCAGAGGCGGCTGGCTTCCCTTGCCTCACAATCCAATCAAATCGCATCAACTTAGTGGTGCAGTGACGCATCCTAAAACCCGGAAGAAAGCTGCGCTCGGTTTCCCTCGACAAAAAAGCAATGGGATTTCTCCATAGGATTTTGGAAAATAGCTCGAAATAAGGTCTGTGGAAAACAAACCTTTTAGATAAATGCACGTTTTGTTCAGTCGGATAATATCCACAAGGCAAGGCAAGTTTATTTATATAGCACTTTTCAACACAAGGCAATTCAAAGTGCTTTACAAAAAATGAAAGACATTAAGAAAATGGCATTTAAAATCAGTCATTAAAAAGAAAAGCTAATAAAATAAACATTAAAAGAAAAAATACATGGATAAAAGTTACAGTGCAGTCTAAGATATGAATAGTTCAATTAAACATTAAAAGAAAAAGTACATGGATAAAAGTTACAGTGCAGTCAAAGATATGAATAGTTCAATTAAAAGCAGCGACAAAAAGAAAAGTCTTCAGCCTGGATTTAAAAGTAGTAAGAGTTGCAGCGGACCTGCAGGTTTCTGGGAGTTTGTTCCAGATATTTGGAGCATAATAACTGAACGCTGCTTCTCCATGTTTAGTTCTGACTCTGGGGACAGACAGCTGACCAGTCCCTGAAGACCTGAGAGATCTGGATGGTTCATAATTTAGCAGGAGGTCAGAAATGTATTTTGGGCATAAACCATTCAGTGCTTTATAAACCAGCAGCAGTATTTTGAAATCTATTCTTTGACACACAAGAAGCCAGTGTAAAGACTTCAGAACCGGAGTGATACTTTTATAATTTTCGAATCATACATCTAATCGATAGAAGATAGATAGCGTCACTGCACCACTCTCACCACCGTTAGAAAGCAGCAAGCAACTGAAGCAAGTGCAATTATGGAGGGTAGAGATTTGGAGTATTTAATCAAAAATAATTGTACTAAACTTCCGCTACAGCAGCAACTAAAATACAATCTGATGACCGGCCAATGCCCAAACTGGAGCTGTGTACAGCGAGGAAAAAAGGAGCGAGTCGGATAGGGGTGCAACAACTAATCGACTTAATCGATTAAAATCGATTACCAAATTAGTTGCCAACTAATTCAGTCGTCGATTCGTTGGTGACGTCATCACATGTGTTTTACGCGCCGTTAAGCTCCAACGTTATTGGTCTTTATCGGTACTGGAGACATTTACAAAATATATGTCATGTATTATTGCTACATAAACATTATATCGCAGTCTTAGTGTCGCCAACTCGTTTCTAATATGCAAAAAGACAAACAAATGCGTCTATGATGTATTTTCGATCAGACGAGATCTCTCTCCCCCGTCTGTGTGCGAGGGGGCGGGGCAGTTTACACACACACGCAGCTGCTACATGCAGCAACACACACACGGAGGAGATGGCGGAGAGAACGCGCTCCGAGGTGTGGTTCAACTTTACCCGTCTCGATGTGGAAAATGCTCGTTGCCAAAAGTGCAATAAGAGTTTAGCATGTAAGGGCGGTAACACGAGCAATTTGTCTAAACATTTAGCAAAAGTGCACCCCATTCAGACGGAGAAATGCACCGGGTTCGACTGTCTTTCTAGCAGCTCTGTAGCCCCGTCCACGAGTAACGTTTCCCCGTCAGGTGTTCTGTATGCTAGCAGCAACACACGGAGTTAACTACATTATACAAACACGGGTTAATGATTAGAGGTAACTGAGTTATTAAAACACTGTTGTTTCTTTTGATGTGAAATATTATTTATTTAATTTAAATAAAAAGCAATGTTAATTTTGTTCAAAATGTGTTTAGTTAATTTAATAATATATGTATTTTTGAATCAAGTATTCATCTTTATTGTCTTCATTGTTAGTTTCCACATGCCT